AGACTAGCAGACATTCCACTCCCTTTGTAATAATGCATGTTAGTTTCTATTTATATAATTATCTCAATTTTACCAAAAAAAAATTCACATAATACAAAATAAAGTCTGTAGGTGGAAAATGCAAGAAATGAACGACAAAGAACAGAAGAGGAAAAAAATTATTAGGAGCAAAACAAAGATCTAGTAAACTAATACGAAAAGAATATACATTTGTTGCCAAAATGCAAAGAATACACCAAATATTGAATGTTTTAAAAAATAAAGCATATAATAATTTGACATTATTGGTGCAAAGGCTAAAATTATTGAGTTTATAGAAGTTAAAAGAACATGAAAAGTTCGCAAGCTTAGGACTAAGGAGATTACTTCAGTAAAGGTGTAGTTGAAGTAACGTTCAGTTGGAGAGGCAACTTGGAAGACAGATTGCACCAGATATCCTTAATTTTTCGAGGCGTCAAGTACTTTCTTTTACTTTAGATTTGAGGACAGACATAGTTTTTAATGGTGGATAATGAAATTACCAAAAAGGTTATTTGGATTTTTTTGTAAAATTATCATTTTACCCCTTCCGGTAGTTGCCCTGTGTCATTTCTGATCAGTATGTGAAATAGGTTTTGAAATTTGAGTATTAGATTGTGATTTTTGAAAGTTTAGAGTTTTTAAAGGCTTAAATTGTTAAAAAGTAGTTTTAGGTGTCAAATAGAGTTTCAAGTCTTGGAAAGACATTTCGTCAATTCCATCAGTTCCGCATTGCAGAATTTGGTCGGGATAGTTGTTGGTTTCAAATTCGAATTTTTTTGTGAATTTGAGATTTTAAGTTGGAAATTTAAGAAAGTTTAGTCATTGAGTTGACTTTGTTCAATATTCGTTGAGATGCTTTAATCAAATTTTTACTAGTTCCATAGGATTAGGGGGGTGATTATAGGCCTAGGAGAAGTCTTGGTTGATTTTTTAGAGATTCTGATCTTGGTTTGGTTTTTTAGACGTTATGTTAGTTTATTGCAATTCCACATTTTTTCAAGTCATGGATGCTTCAGATTAGTGTTTCGATGATTTTGTTGAGTTTAGTTGGGCGCCATATCTAGTTTGTGTACTCAAGATTCTGAATGAATCTTGAGGGTCCATTCGGTATACTTGTGTCGGCTGATGGTTTCTGGTGCCTGCAGACCTCACGTTCGAAAAGGGTCTTCTCTTTCGCCAGGGTCGCGTTATCGAAGATTGATCATATTTGCAAAGGGTCAGAGGTTTGAACCTCACTTTTGTGAAGGTTTTCTCATGTTCGCGACCCTTTCGTAAGCGAACGCCTAGTCACAAAAATGAGGCTAGACATTCTTTCCGCGATCGAGTTAGCAATCCGGTGGTCGCATTCGCGACGTTCGCGAAAGCAAACCTAAGATTGCTTTTGCGAGACTTGAGAGGGTTTCTGGTCTAAAATTTTGGGTTTTTCCATCATTTTCCATTTTTGAGCTTTGAGGACTCGATTGTGGCGATTCCAAGTGGATTTTCAAGATAAATCATTTGGTTGATGAATTTTAATTTCTCTTCGGTATTATTTATGTAGAGATTTTTTTTAACTTAAATTGCTATTTTGAATTCAAACCTAGGGTTTTTTTTAATACTATAACTTTTGAAAAAATGGTGATTATGAATTGAATACAACTCTGTTTTCGAAATGGCTTTAACACCAATGGATTCTAAATGCTTTGGTTAATATATTTATGTAAAAAATTTCAAATTGAAACCTTATTTTCGAAATCAGGTTGTCGAGTCGATTTGGCACATTTATTCAAACTGCTTGATATAGGTGTTGTTAGTTCTACTCATTATGAATATTTATTTAACTAGTTTGGGTTGGTTTGGATATTAAAAGCTCAAGTTTTGGATTGATTTCTGATTTATTAAGGCAAGTGAACTTCTAAACCTTGCTAAAGCTTGTAGATCTTGAACCTTCTTTCTTGTATGTGTTGTAGAGTAATGGAAAGAGGTGATGGGGTAGTTGCTCAAAAGGATGATAGAAATGAGATTAATGAAAAAGGAAATGTATTGATAATGGTGTATTTTGCATTGTGAATTGCCTTGAGTGTTGATATTTACTCGGTAATTGATATGATACTTTGATAGTATTGGTGTGAATGTAAATTGCTTGTGATCGTCATCTCTTCATTATTGTGTGAACATGATTTTGGTACTTGTGATTTATAGTCTTGAAACTTGTGGTTGATGAACTAGACCATTGTGATTGATGAACTTGACCCTTGTGATTTGATGAAATGTAATTTGTTAGGACTGTGACTTTGAAACCTTGCGAACTACTGGAACTATTAAGTTGCGCCGATTTTTGTGCAGATTGTAGTTGTGGCAGTTTGATTGGGATGAAACGAGTTCTTATTTTTAGCTAGTTTTACCTTGTGTTTAGTGATTGCTAGTTGGGTACCATATTGTTTGGTATTCACTCCTTACTTCTACACCTATTTAGGTTCCGAGCGCGGATTTGTGTGATAACTGTTGAATGCCTTGAATCGGACCCGTTACAACAGAAAGGACGGGGGTCTCGCTATTTAGGTTCTAGACCTATTTAGGTTCAGAAGCTGAAGGGTTTACTTAGTGCTGAGTTTGAGATGAAGGATCTGGGACCCGCTCGGAAGATTCTAGGGATGGAGATCATTAGAGACAGAGAGAGAAGGAAACTTTTCTTGTCACAGAGAAGCTACATTCAGAAGGTCTTGGCGAGGTTTGGCATGTCTTCATCTAAGCCTATTGATACCCCCAGTGCTGTCAATATCCATCTCACTGCCATGTTCGCTCCACAGTCAGAAGAAGAGAAGGAGTATATGTCACGAGTCCTTTATGTCAGTGCCGTAAGAAGTTTGATGTATGCTATGGTCTGTACAAGGCCAGATTTAGCACATGCAGTCAGTGTAGTGAGCAGATTCATGGGACAACTAGGGAGAGAACATTGGCAGGCTGTGAAGAGAATTTTCCGGTACCTTAGAGGTACATCTGACGTTGGTCTCATTTATGGAGGTGATACTCAGTGCTTGGTTACTGACTATTCTGATTCTGACTATGCTGGAGATGTTGACACAAGAAGATCGATGACTGGCTATGTGTTTACCCTTGGAGGATCTGTCGTCAGTTGGAAGGCAACTTTGCAACCTACAGTGACTTTGTCTACTACGGAAGCGGAGTACATGGCCTTGACAGAGGCTGCAAAAGAAGGGATTTGGCTGAAAGGGCTGGTTAGTGATCTTGGTCTGCATCATGATCAGGCTACGGTGTATTGTGACAGTTTGAGCGCAATTTGTCTAGCCAAGGATCAAGTCCATCATGAGAGAACCAAGCATATTGACGTAAGGTATCATTTTCTGAGAAGTGAGATGAGAATCAAGGTGAAGAAAGTAGAACTGCTGATAATCCTGCTGATATGTTCACAAAGCCGGTTCCACAGAGCAAGTTTCAACACTGTTTGGACTTGCTCAACATCAGAAGCTATTAATTGCCCTGCGGGGCAATTCTGAGGAAGAGGGGGAGGCATGGCACTATCATAGTGCGTCTGAAGAATCTGTTTGGAGAATTCAAGTCAAGGTGGAGATTTGTTGAATACCTTGAATCGGACCCGTTACAACAGAAAGGACGGGGGTCTCGCTGCTCGGTCTGCGAGTCAGGGGGTCCAGGGGGGCGACGCGCCCCCTGGCCTGAGGGTCCGGGGGGCGGAGTCCCCCCGGCCCGACGGTATACAATGTTGTTGTATTGCGCCCTTAATTATCTGTCAATTCTGTATGTTGAGCCCAAGCCTGTTAGGCGTAGCTTAGCACTATATATAGACGCTATGGCAAACCCTATTCTGTATTCTGTTTTTGCCTCTCGATAATAAAACTACTCCCTCTCTTCCCCGTGGACGTAGCCAATTTATTGGTGAACCACGTAAATCTGTTATCTTGTTTTTCGCGTTTATATTTTCTCGTATTATCTCGAATTCTGCACAACAATAACCCTTCTTCTATCTACATCTAAGGGTTCATGCGGATACTTAAAAGGTAGTTGTTTGTCATGCCAGCGGACCCTCTGTTTCCTTGTTTATGTTATTGTTCTATTCGAGAGACAAGACATTCGAGAGTATTTATCTTTCCAACTTTGTTATTGTACATTAGTGACTTGTACATTTGACAACTAGGTTTTGGAGGTATTTGAAAATGACCAAGTTTTCCACGCTTATGTTATTGTTAGTTTTTTCCGCATTTTCTTTCGTGTTGCTTGATTTAGGCTAACTTGTCTTGGTGGAATAAATGAGTGTCATCACGTCCATTTTTGGATTGTGACAAAAACACTTCTCCCCCTTAGACATAATTTTTTTTAAAAAATAAATAGCACAGGACCATAAGATAAAATAAGCACTAGCAGATAATAAAGCATAGCAAGGATGGTAAATAACCTCAATATACAGCGCCAAAAGATGTTTTAGCAGGGATAGACCCTCCAATTTTTGTAACATTTTCATCAACTTCCATCCTCTTTACTAGTTGCAGTATGGATGACTTACCATTGAAGTGTGATAATTCTTCCAACAGAATCCTCCCATCAAAAGAATGTGGTCAAGGACTAAAATTAGACGAACCAACACCTTTTAGGTTTTGGCAATTTCACGGACTTTGCCAAACATATCTTGAAAGACAAGATGACGATAATTGTGAGCAAATGATAACATGACGATAGTTGGGATCTTGAATTATAACATGACAATAATTGTGATCAAACTCTTCACCCCAGCTGTCAAGATTTTCTCGCATGACACTGTAGGAGAATGTGTCAAATGACAGGTATGTAGAAGAATAAAGTTTGAGATGGAGCGATTTGGTATGAGTTTGATCATATTCAAGTCTATCTCGGACCTCTTTTAACATCAACATGATCATGCAAAAAAAGAAAGTAAAATATTCTCTAACCTTAGTTATCCATAAAAAGTTTGCACCTTATCAACACATCTATACCAGTTGACCATAAACATGAGAACAGATCAAAAGACTAAAATATACAGTACTTAAAATTTCCAGTACAAAGCAATTTCAAGATATTTAAATGGAAGTTCACCGTGGCAAAGAAGAAAAAAGATAAAAATACAATTGATAACAAACCAAGAACCAGAAAATGTAGAAAGAATTTCTTAGTAAGAGTTCCCCAGAATTGGTATGAGAAGGGGAGCAGTTCTCAAATCATTTGTGCCTAGTACAAGCTAAGAGAACTAATATGCCGAAGCCCTCTTAGCCAGCCATTTTAGTCAAGCGGTGTACAGTACTTCTTGCCACCCTATTACCAGGATCAATTTTCATAACAGTTCTGAGGTCTTCCGCCCCAAGCTTGTACTTCTCCATACTCTCATACAACAGAGCACGCTGCACAAGGACGGAAACATTTTTGCCATCTTGTTCTAGCACCTGCACAACAAAATGCAGCAATAAGTCTTTTCTCATATGATAACACATTGAATAAAGTGAATTCACAACAGTTCTCAGCCGTGATCTGGCAATGTCTTGCGTCTAAATTAACCAGTAACTTCTTTTTTCCAGACAGCTTTTTGGTCAAGACTTTCTCCAGTTACATTTTGTGAACTCTTTTTTTTTGGGGAACTCCTCTTGTATTATTCATAAAATATTCATACATATAACTTAACACAGAAGATTGACAAAAACAAAAATTACTTCATAGAAGGTCTTTGACTGTTCCTTTCAAGAGGCATCAAGAAAATAATCCGATACTGAATGGGCTCCTCTATTGCGCCGTACTGCTTGCTTTGATACCTATTCGGATAGTGCGAGTATTGATGCATATCCTGAAGCTAACCTAAGTCAACTGGATCCTTCAACTAGACCCTTTACGAGGAGACAAGCTAAGACTGTACAAGAACTCCAAGGTTTAGCTCAAGGAATCCTGTGGCATGACTTAAAAGACGATGGGGAATCAAACAAGGAAATGATAACAGTAAATTTTATGAAACTCATTTTCCCTTGGAGACTAACTATTATTGGAGACAAGCTAAGAATGCATTCAGTCCTGCAACATAAGTTGCACGAACTCTTCACTTTCGATGTGCACCGGTATCAAATTCTCCAAAATACACTACTTTTGAGAATCCGACATGTACCCTCTAACAAAATGCATTAAACCTAAATTTTGATCGTATGTAAACACTCCATCTGTCATTTCTTAGCCACATAGCATGGATTGCTTTGGCTATAACAAGGCAATATGTATGGGGGTGGAATGTAGCCTCTAGCTGGCCATAAATGGGGAGTCCTACAGGACTAAACAGTCCCCCATTTGACGGCCTAATATATCACATGTTGGGTTGAGGACTGAAAGAAACCATTTTGCCTAGATTCTCTCCACTTCACACACCACTTACCTCCTTAGCTCCAACCCCTCTGTTCCTTGTTGTTTCAAGCTTTTTTTTTTTGTGGATGCTCACTTTCTGATTTACTTTGCTTCATATATGTTGATCACATGTATGACTGTCGAACTAGTTTCTTCGTATTCATTATGGCTAGTTACTTGGCACGTCAGTGGATCATTTTTCAAAACAATAATTTGATATTTCTATAAATGACATGGTGCAAACATGAAATATCAATTTCGACATCTGAACTTTATATCTTCTAGGGTCCTTAATCTGCATTATTAGTTTAAAAACCATCTATGTAAAGATATTGTTTGACAAGTAGATGCATCTAGAAGTAGTATGTCTGCAATGATCATCCTCAAAAAATGAAGTATGTCTCCAATGACATGATAAAAACACAGTGGTAATGTTTTATGTATGCACCATTTGGGTTTGAAATAGTATCTAGTACCTATGACTTTGTTAGTGCCATCGGCGATATAAGATGATATATTTGATGAAGATGCCAGAAGAGACAAGATTATATATCACAATCAAAACCACACGCCAAATGCATAAAATAGGAAGAGAACACTGCTTATGTCACTTTATCACCTTTCATTTCATTGATATTCAGTCAAATTGCACTCAGCTTTACAAAAGAAAATATGGGGGCATGCATTTAGTGTCTACCACATTCCCCTAAATGATAAATTGTGTAAATGAGAAAATACTCTTCTGAAACTAGGATTACATGGAAGCTAGTTTGTGATAGCTAGCCTAACTTACAGTGCAGAGAGGAGTCTGTAAATATTTCTTAAAAATATTTCATAAAACAAGGTGCAAAAACATCCATGAAATGCCACCAACGTGCATGAAAAATAAATGAGCACAAATTAATATCTAAAAGATGATAAAGGTCTTAGTGTAACATACAAAGCATGGTTATTGATCATACCTTTGTACAGTCAGCCACAGCCTTCTTGTATTCTCCTACCTCTTTGTAACATGAAGCCCTACTTGACAGAACTTCCATTACACCAGCTTCATCACCAGCCTTCTCGAGAAGAATGACAGCCCACGACAACCATTTTATGGCATCACCATATTGTCCCTGCTTGTGATTATCCATTCCCTTGTTCTTCGCAGCGGAAGCACTCACACCAGAAGGTGGTGGTGGAAGCCCTTCAATTTCAGTTGTCCCACTGCTATCATTAGCACCCACAAACTCTGATTCAAAGCCCCAATCATCACCCCCTGTAAACTGCTGGTTCTCACTCCCTCCAGCAGCTTCTCCAGATGAAGCATTAGTTGATGAAAAAAGTGAATCAAAATCACCCACACCTGAAGACTGAGTAGCAGATGGTTGACTCTGAGTATTAGTGAATCCGAAATCATCAACCTTGGAATAAGCACCACCTGTATTCAACCCGGGTGAAGCATTAGTATTACTTGTAGGAAATGGATCTGATGGAAATCCTGGTCCATCTGATTTGGTAGCATTTTGGAAATTCCCGAACACATCATCCCCTGAACTATTCTTCTTAGTTTCTTTACTATCTGACTTCATATTAGGCCCCGGCTTAGACGAAAAATCAACCAGCGAACCAAATGGGTCCTTATTAACACCCATCCCTTCACCAACTCCACTTCCAGACATATTTTTCAATGATGTACCTCCAAGATTAGGGGTTTTAGTATTACCACCACTCTGATTCACACTGGCAGTATAATTATATGCATTATACCCACCAGCATTACCACTACCAGAATTTCCAACTGAACCCCAGCTACCACCAGCATTACCACTACCGGAATTTCCAGCTGAACCCCAGCTACCACCAGCAGTACCGCTACCGGAATTTCCAGCTGAACCCCAGCTACCACCAGTTTTCACAGAATTGCCACTCTTCGGCAGATTATCAGTCATACCACCCATAGAGAACGCGCTCTTGTTGGCAGTTGGAGCAGCATTTTTTAACGGGGCATTGCTACTACTTTTATTTCCTCCCAATGCTGAGCTCACCAAATCACCAAACAAATTAGGGTTTTTGTTAGTCATCCCAACACTTGACGCTACATTGCTAGTGGTCGAAGGAGCTGAAGACCCCCAACTCTTCCCAAATATATCACCAGCCATTGAATTCGGTCCAGATAACGACCCTACTGGCTGGTGAGTCCATGATGATTTGTTAGGTTGAGTCCATGAAGACCCAGAATTTGGTTTCGATTGCGTCGATGAATACGTATAGGATGATGATGAAGAAGAATACGACGAAGTTTTATTCTTCTGATCATTGAGAGATCGAGATCGACCAGAGTTCATACCCAGATCAAAATCAAACCTATTCATAGAAGAACCCGATTTCCCGTAATTTGAATTCATATTTTCGTCTGGAAATTAAACTAAAACCCTTGTATATTACTTGAAATTATTTTAGTCCACAGATCGGGAATTATGGCGGGATTGTAGATCAGAGAAAAAAAGAATTAGATCTGATTAAATTCTGAAACGTACCTGATGATAATGAAAACTACGAATAAGAAAAGAATAATAATTCAGATACCGGAAAGATAGGTTGATGATGCTAAATTGAAGCTCCGGCGAGATGATAATCGGAGCTCAGATCGGAGAATGAACCGACACGGCGGAGGTGGAAAAAAGGAAAATGCCGAAAATGATGGGTAATTAAAGGGAAGATACAATTTATTGCCCGGAGATTCATTTAGTTTTTGTTTTCCTATTTTACATTTTCTTTATTATTAGTAAAACTTTTTGAATTATAACCATTTGACTGTCACCTTAAAATTCGTTTCATTTTAGTTAATGAGTCAAATACTAGAATTTAGGAGTTGTGTATATTATATGGAAAATGGTTAAATATATTATTATATTATTAAAAATAATTTAAATATACTTTTAGTTATATTTTTTATTTAAATAAAACTTTTGGATTATATTTTGGTACAAATATGTTTCTTGCTAAAATAAGGGACACATTTATCTATCCTGCCTTTTTTTTCTTAAAAAATGGCGAATTACACCGAATTTTGCCTTCAACCAAGCCTTTTCGTTCCGAAATCGAAAGTATAATGGGAAGAGTAAATTTAAACTGAAAGTATAATGAATGATGTACTTAAACTATTTCTAATAGTATCAGAGTATTTTTCAAGTATCAGGTAAATTCAATATAAATTATCATATCTTACTACTTTACTTAAATTATTTTTATTACTCCCCGTGTCTCATTTTATGTGTCATTATTCATTTTTCTAGACTCAAACAGTTTCATTTTTATCGGACATTTGCGTATGGAATTTTCAAATTTTTTGAAATAAAATTTATATATTTGTAAACTACGTAAAGAGTACTATAAATCACAATAATTGATAATTCAAAATATTAAAAGCATCTATAAAAAATTTATGTTCAAAAATAAACTTATTTAAATTTCGAAATATAAAAAGCATGTCATAAAATAAAAGGGAGGAGGTATATAAAAGCACACAAAAAGTTGTCATCAACTTGACATACAGGGAAGTTGTTTGAAGTATGGGGTTAACTATTAGAGTACACACTACTTATAATATTTTATTATGTTTTCTCTTGGATGCTTACAAATATCATGTCTCATTAAAACACTATAACAAAAATATTGTGGAAAAAAATATCACATTTTTGAGTCTACATCCTAAACAAGATCATCACTCAGATATATTACTGACTCAAGAGAACTATTCGCTTAACATGCTATAAAATTGAATAATAACTAGTGCGGAAACTTCAAAAACATGAGAATGCAATAACTTTGAAAATAAACTCACTAATTTATAATTAAAAATGTCTGTGCGTGCTTATATAACAAAACTGAAAGTTATAACTCAATTAACTCATCTGAAGCCCTAATGTACTGAAGATAGATCATTGAAACAATATTCAGGCTACCTGAGTACTCTAGTTATGACATATAATATATATTAATATTCTGAAAAATTGAAGCCCTATAAAAGGATGGAGGTTTTGCTAAAATTGGATGAAATTAAATTCAAATGATATGTCCTTTGTTGATTCTGATTTTGCATCATTTAAGATGTAACATTGAATGACATCAATATATGAAATGTGTATTATGTAAAATATATAAACGAAATAATTTGTTAAGCTAAACATACTGAAGTGAACAAACCACACTAAAGATAGATAGAAACCAAGTCAATTGAATTGTATTAAACAAGATTTTCAATTTAAAAGTTTAGACATGTTCTAAAACGGGTTGACTAAATAATGATATCACAATATCTAATATTGAGAAGAGAAAAATGTAAATAATTGTAAATTGTTTTAAAGCACTTTCATCGTAAACTGTTTTATTACTTGAGCTGAAAATATGTCTAGTCATGCAAATTGGAGAAATCCAATATTTAGTTGTGATTACACATGCATTTCAAATTTTTTAATATATAGTAATACATACACACTATAAATCTTTAAGTTGAGAGTTTCTTACAATTGGCATAAATCACATGAGTTCATGATATCCAACAGCTAAACCAATCGGGAGGATTACTATACCTTGATAGGATGCAAAATTTATTTATCTAGTGTGGATCCATGCTAAAAGAGTTTGACTGATTAGTAGTATACAAATACTACAATAACATGCACACGGATCTAGGATTTTAAGGTTGTGAGTGCTCTAAAGTGAAAATGTAAAAAATATATGTTAACAATAAGATTCGAACCTTGGTACAACAACACTAAAAAGTCTTATGTACCCATCCAAGAACCATTAGGCCAACTATATATGTACCCATCCAAGAACCATTAGGCCAACTATATCATTTATTCATTGGGTGCTCTATGTTAGTTTTATACAAATACCATTCGATTTCTACATAGATATATATATCGTAACGAAGTTAATGGGTGCTCAAACACCGGACAAACACCATGTGGGTCCCCTCCCTGATAACATGTATTATGGAATTTGAATTTTCTACATTCGCGGTCCATTTATGCTAATAATTCTCTCAAAATAATCTATATATACTCATAACATAGGGGAAAAAATCTTAAATATATCTGAGCTTAGAATGAAATTATTGTTATAATTTTAAACTTTGGACAACACCTAATACGCCCTGTATATTTAATAGTGTGTTTAGATAAATATAGGTGTCCAGCTGGTCAAGTGTGTAAAATGAGGGACGAGCGCGTAGACATAAAATAAAACTTTTATGAGTTTATTATTCACTGCCCCATATCAATACCTTCATTAATTAATACTCGTTTCTTTTTACCTTTTTACATAATTCTTGTTACCCACTTCATTTTTCACTCAAGTACAAATCATACAAATCATCATTGAGGGCTAAAGAGGTAAGCTTTAGCTTTAACATATTATTCTCTTGAACTTTTATTGTTTGTCTTGTTTGTTTGATTTTTAATTTATTTTCTCTAATTTCTAATTTTTTATTAGGGTTAATCATGGAAGATGTAAAATTTGATTTGAATAAATTTTATTTTGATAGAAATAATCCAAAGTTGAATGAGGAAATGTGATGCCTTTACGATTTTTGCCCCATTTGAAAATTTCTTCGTCCAATAACAATTCTGGTAGAAAATTTTGGTCTTATCCATATTATGGATCGAAAAAGAGTAAATATTTTTGTTGGAGGGATGATATGGTATATGATTAATCTAAGTTCATCATGCATAAGTTGGTAAAGAAAATGAAGGACATAAACGAACTAATAGTTGCAAATATAAAGAAAATGAAGGAGATGGAAGAAATCATTGATTATATTTGATAGAGAAATTACGAAGATGAAAGTTCAATCCGCATTTACCTAGTTGAAAGAAAAATGTAGTGTAAAGGAGGTGGAAGGAGTGTTTTCTTTCGAGGACTATGAAAAGGATAATAAATTGATTGAGCTGAAGAAAGGGAGTAGCTACTGTATGTTGTCTCTCGATCATGTATGTTGTTGTTTGGATTAAAATAGGCAATTAAAGTATTTTCTTTGGTCGATGTAAATTTGAATGTGCTTATGTTTGCTAGTTCGTATTGTTTATGTTAATGAACTTGATTTATGTTGACTGTATCCATACGTTAGACCCGCAAACTACTTGATCTAACTATGTGCAGACATGTCAAGGACTTGGACATTGGTCTTGACATGGATGATGGCAAAACAGTGCAACACAAGTTCAAGGTGCTTGGGTGTTGGCAAGGCAGCTTGAACGTGCATGACTTACGTGCGGGCTAAGGGCATTGGCAAGGCAGCATGTTGGCTTGATGAGGCAAGGCTGTGAAGACTTGGCAATGTCAGGAATAAATGCAGTTCACCCGAAATTGCTGAAATAAAACTAAGTGTTGGAAGACAGCTGAAATATTCTAAAAGTGTTGGAAGCTGGCAGAAATATTCTAAGTGTTGGAATGAAGCCTGAAATATTCTAAGTGTTAGAATATTGATATTTCGTGTAGATAAGAATGTAATTTGAATTAGATTCTATCTGTTAGAAATATAGTTGTTGGAAAGTTAGTTTTGAACCCTGTGATGACAAGTGTCGGACAAGTGTCATTTGTAACCGCCGCATGTAACTGCCATTGTGCAGAATTTTGATTTAAAGGTGGAAATTCGTCTAAGGCACAGACAGAGTGTTTTTTAGCCTTAGACTAATTCGTGAAGCCTTCCTTTGTATTAATTAAAGGTTAATAAAGGTTGGGACTGGTTCCTGTTAACTCTGTTGGTTGTTTGACGCTTCTGTTTTAAGTATTTCTATACTTAGTCAATTTTCGTGGGTGCAAGTAGGCTGAGTGTTACAGACGTTTGTAAGACTGCCTAGAGTGGTGTGCGATAAAAATAAATCGACCCTCTTTCAATTGGTATTAGAGCGCGGTTAAACAATGGTGAAAAACGCAGAATTATGGGAGTTGGCACGAAAAATTGAATCCTTCGTCGGGTTTACTGAAGATATTTTGGGAGACCCTATGTGTGTGGATTTATTCACACAAATCATTGAGTTGAGAGTGGACGCTGAGAAAGTTCAGGGAGAAATTGGTGGATATCGACAGAATGTTGATAACCACATTACTGAAATCTTGGACTTTCGTACCACAACTACGCAAAAACTGGAGGGACTGCAGAAGGAAAATGAGAACCTTCGTGCAGAGCTCGTTGTATTATGTCGGGCTGTGGCCATGTTAAGTTCAACTCGTGTTGAATCGTCTAAGGTAAAGATTCCAGAACCTAAGGCCTTTATTGGCGCAAGGAATGCTAAAGAACTGGAAAATTTCATCTGGGACATGGAACAGTATTTTACTGCTGCAAGGGTGCCGGACGCTTATAAGTTGAACATTACCACAATGTATTTGTCGGGTGATGCGAAACTTTGGTGGAGGACTCGTAATGCAGACGACGTAAGTGCTGGTCGTCCTAGAATTGATACATGGGGTAAGCTAATCAAAGAAATGCGTGATCAATTTTTTCCTAGCAATGCATCTTGGCTTGCAAGGGATAAATTGAAAAGGCTAAGGCAGACGGGTTCAGTGAGGGAATACATAAAAGAATTTACCTCTGTGATGTTAGACATACAAAATATGTCTGATGAGGATAAACTTCACAACTTCATTTCGGGCATGCAAGGCTAGGCTCAGAACGAACTACGAAGGCAGAATGTTAAAGATCTGCCCGGGGCTATTGCTGCTGCCGATTCGTTAGTGGATTTCCGAATGACTCGTCCT